AGAAGCTCATCAAAAAGACATCTGGTCCTGCTGTCCTTAATGGGAAATCCCCCCCTCCCTCCAGCCACCCTCTTCCCAGCCATGTTCTTTTGAAACAGTTAATGTCTGAGAGAATCCAAAACATTGCTGGAATGTATCAGTGATGAAGCTTTTGTATAGCTGAACAGCTAAACAGCTCTGGTTTTGTTTGTGTTAGGGTCAATTGTCTTGCCTTTCATTGGTGAAAGTCAGAAATGGCTGGACAGAAGTCAGTGGAGCCACAGTGGTCTAAGGCCAGCTTCAGCTGGGGGAGAATTTGGTCACCTCTTTTATGGCTGGAATCATGAAATGCTTCACAGGGAAGCAAAAAGACCTCAAAAGAGGCACCCATAGACAGCATACTTGCAAATCATCCGAGGTGAAGGATTCATGCTCTCCAGCAGATTATTTTAGTGAGCAGCTTTGCTTGGAATGACCATGCTGTCCTAGTGACCCATCTGCCTCTCTGTTTCTTCTGGCCCTTTTTTTCACTGACAGAACCCTGGCAGGCTCCCTGTGCCTTCCTGGAACCAAGGAACTGGTCTGGTCTGCTATAAGGCACCCACAGGGGTTACTTCTGGGGAAAGATTGCTGCTCATGCTCCTGAGTGGGTAGCCCAGGATCTTTAACATTTTTTTGCACTCAGCCATAATAGCAATGCCATTTATCACAATCCTTTCACAGAAAATCATGTTCCCAGGGATTGGGTGGCTCAGAGTTTCAGCATGGGATGCAGAGTGTTTGATCACATGAATAGCAGAGTCCAGCTATTTAGACCTCCTTATGGAATAAGCAGAGGACTCCATTCAAATTCCCAAAACCAACCATTGCCTTCATCCCTTAAATCAGAAAATCTGGAAACCCAGCAGGATGCAGCTGATCAGGGTTCAAAGACATTGATGGGAGCTCCATAAACATCCTGAACTCCTGCCAGTACTCCCACCTAAAAGGAAGACTGGGGGGACTTTGAAAGAGACAGTTGAGCTGTGTCTGATGATCGCTTTATCTGGTCCCAGCTGTGTGTTCCCAGCTGCTCAGTGGTCTCTTCCGTCCATCCAGCTGCAGGTGCTTGCCATTTACCTGGTTCTCTCCCAGTCCTGCCTAGCTCTTCTGCAACCCAACTCATCCTCCCCAGGTGTTACATGAACGTGCCATTTTAGTTTTCTGTCATTTCAGTGTGGAAGTTGCTGAAACTTGCCAGTTGCCAGTGAAAATGGCACTAGGGAGAGAATTTGGCCAGAAGCAGGGGAAGGACAGACTTCTCCCTGTCAGAGACACCAGTGTTGTTTTGCTGACTCAGCTGTCCCTAGGTCCACAGGGACCTGCGTGTTGCTGTTCAGAGGAATCCACAAATGGACAAAAGGAATTCTCCCACCTAAGATTATTACAGCCCAGTACTGCAGCCAGGGACTCCAGAGTGAATCAGTTTTTGGCTTCCTTGTTCCTTGGGATTTTGTAGGACACACCTCAGCTTTAATCTCAGCTCAGGTCTGCCACAAAACCCACCTCTGCTCAAATCTGAGATTTGACTGATGATCTGTTTGACCACAACTGTCCACTGATACACCAATATTTAAGTAGGTATCCCAGATGATATTTGGAAGGAAAGAGGACACAAGTGCAACACCACTGATCCAAGATCTCCCTGCTAACCCCAGTCGGCCAAGCCATCTTAGTCCTCCAGGTGCCTGTACAAGTGGAGAATTTGACACAACTTTCCACCTTTCAGGAGCTTAACAAAACCAAGTTAACTCTACCTCTGACTGAACTTGGTCTTGTTGAGTAACTTCTTAACTCGGTTTTTACAGCACTGATAAGTGCATGGGGAAGAGAGAAAGAAAAGCCTCATGAAACAACATTCAAGTGTGGAGGAAATTTCCACTTTTTGTTCTGCCAGCTGGAATACCTTCCCTGAAGAAAGGAAGAAGTAGGGACTGCTGCAACTGGAATGAGCAATATCTGGGAGGAAATACCCCAGAGAGCAGCTCTGCACTATCCAGGTCAGGTGTGGTTCTTCCTGACAGTTCAAGCACAACTTCTCTGGGCACCTGCACACAATTTCTCACGGCAGGGTTCCCTCTGGCTTTCACCACAGAGAGGTCAATAACTTTCACCACTTTGAGTCACGCTTAAAACAGGGAAAAAGCAAAATAAATGCAAGCTAAGAGAAGAAAGTCATAGCAAAGATTTAGAAAAATACAGATAATAAAGACTTTGCTGATACAAAAGGTAGGTGTAACAACCAATATTAATCAACAACATTAATGAAACAATGTACAACTGCTTAGTAATTACGGAAAAAAAAAGAAAAGTGTTTGGCATTGCCAGGGGAGAAAAGACAGGATCAGGACCATGCTACTACACAAAGTATTGAGCAAATCATTGTAATTGTTCATAGAGTTTGTTTAGGCTTTTAAATTTATTCTTGACTCCTGTTCTGTTTCACAGGAAGCAAAAGAGCTTAACGGCAATAAGTCCAGAGAAGCAGAATTACATCAGCTGAAAGCCACAGCATGGTACAGGAAAACTTTAGCCAAAAGTGCCAGTTTCACTAGCAGCCAGACTATCAATACAGCATGAATATGCAGGGAAAAAAGGATTAAAACATATCAACTATAATATGAACCTGTGCAGTGAAGGATAGGATGTCAGCTGCATAAAAAAGGAATTAAACAAGATGAGCTTGGCCCTCCAGGCTTTTCACACCTGAGTCATCATTAGTGATAATAATCATCATTGTTAATAAGCATCACTAATAATAAGAAGGAAAAATGTAAGCAACACATGGGTGTACAGGGAGATGGGTGTTCTTTTATTGGCTTCAAGAAGCTCCACCAGGAAAACCAGTTTGCAAATGTTTGCTCTGCTTGAGCACAGTGGTAAACATCTAGATTTCAGCACCAACACTGGGAACATTTATTCCTCGTTCTAAGCAGGGTCTGAGTATTCCCCAGTTTTATTAAACCCCAGAACCCAACAGCCTGTTTGAAAAAGAATACTCCAAAGTACTTTAGGTGCATGAGGAAGGGGGCAAACAGGAAGAACTTGTATTCCTCTGGCATTATTATTTGTCCCATTGTCACTTGTCCAACAATTGCCATGGGCCTAACCACCAGTCCTGGAATTCCAGAGCATCCTTATCATGGGAGGGGAAGGAAGGGACAAGCAGGGAATACGAAGGCTCTAGGTCCTCAAGACAGGAATCACAGGTATCTGATGTTTTGATCTTTCAAATCATCTTTAATTAGTTTGTGTAACTTCTATTATCCTTAATTAGCCTTGCTCAGTTCAGAATGCCTGCTCATCTGCTTCAAGATAGAGGCACACCTCAAAGGTTTGTAAGACCAAAGCTTACCCTGCTAGATTTTGAAAGCTATAGCCAAGAAGATGCTGGGAAGAGCTCTGAAAGAGCTATTCCTACATGGCAGGCATATTTATTTATTTTCCTCCAGTTATTGCAGACTGTTATCTGCTTGCTGGATTTGATGGTTCAGGCACTTGGCTTGCCTGTCTCTTTGTGCGGTGGGTATGCACTGGCAAGAGGTGAGAGATACTCCAGCATCAGCTTCCTTGAGTGGCAATAGCTCTTTATCCAACCTTGTTCTTGTATGGAGAGTTCACACAGGTCAGTTTCTGCTTCCACAGAGATCCTCTGAGAGGGGTCACCCCTGCCAAGCCTGGGAGGGTGGGGACAGGAGGGGCACACAGGGACCCACAAAGTGTCAGGACAGCGCTCTTCCATCCAGCCTGGCTGCTTGCTTTCCATGTAAGCCAAGAGAACCTGCTTATGGCTATTTTCAGAAAATGTAAGGAGGGCTATATGCTGGAGGCTTGGGGCTTTTTCTACACAAACAGCAGTGACATTGGCTACCTTGGACCATGGATGGTTTGTGGGCTGACAGGTCCAAAAACTGGGAAATACAGATTCTGTGAACCTTCTGTTGGCTTTATCTAACAGGTACCAAGGAGAGCAGTTCATTTTCTAGGTAATGGTTGCATATTTTTCCACAGGAACAGTGGAACTGCACACCCACTTAGCCTCACCTCTTGCTATGAAGGCCCTGTAATAGGCAGGTATGGCTCCTTTGTCCTCACAACAATGTTAATTTTGAAGAGAGTATTTCCCCTATAACCCTCGTAGACGTTGCTGTTTGTTACTTTCAGTCTTCTCATTATTGATATACACATTAAGTTCTTTCAGTGTCTCCAAAACTTTAGCCTGAGGACAGATTGTCACCTGTGCCTCATATTGAGGTCGGACTGGATGCCCACTTCTCCACGTTACTATTTGTGCACTTTGGAGACGACAGTTCTGGCTGCCATGGCAGAAATCAGGCAAAAATGTCACTGCAACCCAAGGAGAGGGACACACTCCTGTGAGATTGGCTCTGTCCAGGAGCCAGGTCCTGTGAGGAAGCCTTAATGAAATCACTGGAAAGAAGAGCGCAAATTCAGTGGCTCCGGGATACAGCCACCCCAGGGGTGGAAGCAGAGCCCAACTTTCCAGCCTGCCAGCCCAGAGCAGGGGGTGGGTCCGGCAGGCTCCAGCCTGGCCTCATGGCACCGGGACCACATATGGCTATGTCGGGATAACCAGGGCCTTTCTCCGAACGGGCCCAAAACTGCACTGCAGCCAGAGTTCACCATCCGAAACACGGGCCACCCCCGAGAATCCCCCGGAGCCGCCCCCTCATTCCAGCGCCCCCTGTCCTCCTCTCCCGCCCCCAGCCCGGCGCTTCGCCGAGGGGCCCGGCCCGCCGAGGGGCCCGGCCGCTGAGGGGCCGGGCCCGCGGGGAGGCCCCGCCGGACGCTCCCTGCTCCCCGAGCAGAGGCAGGTGCCGCTCGCAGCCCACAGCCCGATCCCGGCCGGCTCCGCGGCTCCGGGGCGGGGCGGGCAGGCGGGGCGGGCCGGCCGGGGCAGCCGGCGCTGCTGGAATTGGAGGCTGCGGAGCGGAGCCCAGCGTGGGCAGCGTCGTGTGCCGAACCCTCGGGAGTGCTGGGCTGCGGCCGCGCTCATCGCCATGGAGAAGTACAAAGGTGAGGGGAGAGGGGGTCACGCGTGTCCCTGTCCCGCGGCTGCCGCGCTCGGGGACCGCCGGAGACAGTGGTCCTTGGGGGGTGACAGAGCCGCTGACACGGGCCCCGGGGAGTGCTGTCCCCCGTGTGGGAGCGCGGCGGTGGATGCGGGGCCAGCTCCCGAGGCGATGTTTCCCGAGAGAGGGACCGGCATCGGCTGCGGGGAAGGGGGTCCCTGCGAGTGGGGGCCGAGCGCAGTGCCTGGGGCCGGGAGGGGCCGTCCCGCGGGGTCCCGCTCCGCGGACGGAGAGTGGGGACGGGAAATGGCTTCTGGGGAGCTGAGGTCCGCGAGTGGGGCCAGAGATCGGGGTCCCCGCAAGTGGGGCCGGAGTCAGCTCGGAGGATGAAGGGGAAGCGGTGCCCGCGAGTGGGGCCGGGTGAGGGGAGCGATGGGGAAGGTGCGGGGCAGCGAGGGCAGGTCCCACCCGGGGATGTCAATCCCTGCCTGCCTGCCCCTCTAGGAAGGGAAGGAGGGAGATGTGAGAAAATTTCACGTTTTACCCGGTCCGCAGATCAGGACCGTCTCTTGCCGTTTAAAAGCAGCGCCTTGTTGCGTTTTCTGCAGCCGCTCGGTTGTCTGACATTGCCCGCTCCGTCTTTCCTCCTAAAGTGCCCATCTTCGTGGACTTCCCACCCTCCCAGGCTGAACAGGCATCGAGTGTCCTGTTTTCTAAACGCAAATAGTTCTGGTGGTTAGGGAGGGTAGGTGAGCAGCTCCCGGCTTTCTCCCTGGCAGGTCTCACCCGGGCTGGCTGTCACCCACAGCCCATTTATTTCCCCTCAATCAATGGCTCTGGCGCTTCCTGTGTGATGCTGCTTGGTCACGAACACCCAGACTGGCACATCACAGGTCCGTGCTGCTGCGGGGCACTATGTGGATACTTTTCAAACATGAGCTCTCCTTGCCAGCCGAGGGGGGAGGAGGTGGGATGAGGTGCCCGGGCACGGAGCACTCGGATGTGTGCGGGTGCTCTGTCATTTCTGCTCCTGCTGATGTGTAGAAACCTCCCCCGCAGGAGGGAACATGCAGTATGGAGTAAATCTGCGGTAAATTTTACCTGTTGAGAGGAAATGTGACTCTCCTTGTAATTGCTGTCCTCCTCATTGGACTCGGTCATTTAAATGGGGAACTTGGTACTAAAGAAATGTATTTCTTCCAGATCCTGTTTGTACTTATTACTGTCAGACCAGAAAGATTTGCTTAGACCTCAGTAGGTGCATTTGAGCTAATAGCTCACTTCCTAATCCTGCTTTTGTGGGGACTCCATATGTTGAGGTATCATACTGTGTGAAGTTAACTTTTGCCAGGACTGTGTGTTTTTTTCACTGTGCAGTACTTTAGCATTCTGACAGGCCTGGCACTGTGCTGCCTGTTGCATTTTGATCCTTTTCCTCCTTACAACTGGTGCTTTACAGGCCTGATAAGCACAATAATAACACACTGCAAAAGCGATCTTAAGGATTATATTACAAATCAAATATTGTGTAGTTGGTTTGGGTTTTGTTTTTTCTTTCCCATCCTGGCAGGGTCTGCACAATTCCATTCAGTTCCAGTAGCAAAGCAGTAGATTCATTAAGATTCAGCTATGTTTTGTATATTGTCTTTTTAAATATGCACACTGCTTCCTCAGAGCAGCGGGGATGTTCTGCACATGTGTGATGAATAAATAGCGAGCGCAACTGATCGCAGAGCCCTGCCAGTGCTTTTTTGTGTTGGTGCTGAGTGTGGGAGCGGGGGTGGTAATGAGGCACCGCCAGCCTGTGGGGCGGCCACAGATGATGGCACAGCTGGGTCAGTGTGTGGGAGGTGTGCCCAGTGTGGGGGGTGACTGGACTCATCTGGAGCTCTGGGGGAAAGGCTGGGCTGGAGGATAACATGTGGGACTTGGGAGCCTTAGGAGCAGGTTGAGAAGGCAGACAAGTGGCTTGTTATTAATAAGCATGGGGGATTTGTGCCTGTTCTGGTGGGGGTAACTTGTTGATGCCTTGCTATGGGAAGTCTTCATCCTTGCCACTAGTCAGGCAGAGTGCTTAGACAGGGAAGTCCTGGAATGTCAGAGGTGGATGGACTCAAAGAGGGCTGTTGAGCAATGAATTGGTGTTTTTGAAAACAAATTTAACTGCAAGATCTGTCCTACTACTTACAAAATTACGTTTGGAAGCATCAGCAGACAGCAGCATCTTTATTTTAAACACGGGCAGGGATGCGCAATAATCCCGACTCTAAGCTGGCATGTGCAAGTGTCACCTCCCAATGGCAGGTGAAGCAGCCACAGGAATCTGGTTGGGTGGAGTGTGCAGAGCCAGGTGGGGTGGGAGGCTGGGGCTGGTGGCTGGCAGGGTGGCACCCATGGAGTGGGAAGAACTCACGCTGTTGAACTTGTGTGGTAGGAAGTGAAGGAGAGATTGTGCAACTCTCCTGGGAATGGGTTTCCTTTCCCAGTCACTGCAAAGGAGGTTGCAAGGCCAGCTGCATAGGAGGACACTGCCTCTTGACTCCTCTTAGGCTATTGAAGCTCTGAAGGATAATCTTGATGTGCATGAGGTTTGTTTTTCTCTGCTAGGCTGCCCTAAACAATGTCTGCTGTTGGTGAAGATGCTGTTTAAAAAAGCACCTTCTCCCTATGATTGGGGTGTGTGTGTGTGTGAGGCATAAAGAGCAACAGACCCAGCAGCCCAAAGGGACTAGAGGGAGATCTGCAGAGAGCAGGGGTGACCAAGAGTGGTCACTGTACCCACAGCTGCATGGTGATGAGGACAGAGCTGCTGGTCTCTTGGCTCTTGCTCCTCCTCTATTTCCTGTGAGGGCTCTCTCCCCCTTCCCATGTGTTTTGCCTTTGAATATGGCAACTGTCCTGATTTGTGCTCCCTCTCCTAGGGGCATTATGGCTTCTTGCCTGCTCTTTACCACGCTTATCAGACATGGCTGGCTGCTGTGTGACCAGCCATCTGCAGGCCCTGGGAGGGGAAGAGGTGCTGGGTGCAGTTACTGGTGAGGGATGTGTTGGTGACGCCTTCATTTACACGCCATCTCTCTCAAGTCCTCTCAGACTGACACCCTTGTCACTGCAGTCATGGGTGATGCAGCCCTATGCTCATGGTCTAAAATGTCAAGTGGTGTAAGCCTGGAGAGTTTTGTAAGATTATCACTGCATTTTAAATGTGTTGGAGGTCTGTAATGGAAATTAGAGCAACTTCCAGCCCAGCTCTTCAAAGAGCAGTGTTTGGCATTTATGTTTTACTATCTCTGTTGAGCAAAGATTTAAGCTCACATTCCTTGTCAGAGGGTCCTTGGAAGTGTTTGCAGTGCTCTCCCCATGGAGATGAACACTGTTTGCCCATGCAGGAGAGGTTGTCTTCTTAACAGAAGCCAACAGGTTAGTGTTGATAAGGAGTAAAATGGTGACTTGGTGGAAAGAAGTGTTTGCTTGCGAAGTTAATGTGTTTTAACTGGGAGGGGAAAGGGGGTGGGTCTGTTTAGGACTAGGGCATGTGTTCTTTTCCGCATGATCTTGCACATACAAAGGGATGTGCTTGGGGTTAGACTGAAAAGTGGAGACGTGAGTGAAAGACATGAGCCCTGGCAACAATCTGAGGTGCTTTATAAATTGTTATTAATTAGAGTTGGAAATAGATTGATTCATATTAACAAGATCTGGGCTCTCTGCAGACATATGTGGTTTCTCCTCAGCTGATTGTCCACACAGCTGTTGTGTTTAACTCATTGTCTTGGTGTGGCAACTGGAGAAAGCAGGGCAACGTACTGCTCTGTGCCAAATCCAGCACAACTTTCAGCTGTTGGGCTGAGCCTTCTTTTAAATGCAGATGAAAATTAGTGTCATGCACAACCTCGTAACTTACGCAGTAACTCTCACTTACCCGAGAGGGCCCCTGGTTGGTATTGGAGAGGACTCTGTTGGGGAATAGGCAGCAGGAGTGCAGTTATTTACTCTGCAGGGCTTGAGGACATGAAGCCTTTTTTCTGCAACTGAAACCACAGCCTGTCTCAAACATCTGCCATGCCCACCCTTCCAAGCCATCCCACCTGTGCCAATATAGTAGTTCTGTATCTTCAAGCACAGCTGCATTTCTTGTTTTAGCAGGGCACATGAGGATGCTCTGAGTTGTATTATGTGCACACAAGGCTCTCCAGTGCTCTCCACAGCAGGACAGGCTCACTGCAGATGGGCTGTAGGGACGCTGGCTTCAGCCCCACTTCATGAGTAGTGATGGTCCTTGGGAGGTGTGTGTAACTGCCAGCTTTGGGGTGCTCCTTTTGCTACCCCCAGAACGATCACTGGGGCTGGCTCCATGTCTTGAGAGTAAGGGGCAGGATCCGTGCAGGGCAGGGGAGCAGTACCCCTGCAGCCCTGCTGCTCTGGGATCTGTGCCCCAGCTGTGTCACTACCGAAATTGCCAAGAGCCCTGCTCCTAAAGCCAGGAGAGAAGTTTTCTTCTTAAAAGAAGAAGAAAAAAAAGAGAGGCTAAAAGCTAGCTCACAAGCTCTGAGCCTTTGGGCATCTGCTTTTGGAATGCTCCAGACAGGTCAGGAGCCCTTCCTTTACCTTAGTGTGTAAGCAAGTCTCATTCCCCTTCCTCCCCACACCTTCACCTCTCCTCGAAGCTGGCTCTGTGTGCCCGGCTGGGGACTGGAGACACTGCCTGAATGAGTTTATTGTTCCTGGGTTCTCACTGATCGCTTTCATTGAACGCCCACAGCCAGGAGCACAGGGAGTGTCTATGCAAAAATGCTTGTACTGCCTTGTGCTGGAGCATGGCTGGCTCTTTCAACTCCCAGCAGCAAGGGTGGGCTGGGGGCAAGCAGGGAACTGGGCAGCTCATGTCACCCAGGCTGTGCACCAAAGCAGCACAGGCTTTAAAATCTGAATTCTGGACACCTGCTCAGCTGCATACTTGTCTCTCAATGTTTCCATCTCAACATACAATACGTAGGAAGGATG